AGAGTGGAGTGCAGTGGCCGCTCCCGGCCACCATAGCCTCGACCTGCTGGGCTCCTGCGATCCTTCCGCCTCAGCCTTCCAAGTAGCTGGAACTACAGGCATGTGCTATCATGCCTGGCTAGTTTTTTTGATTTATTGTAGAGATGAGGTCTCGCCAAGTTGCCCAGGCAGGTCTCAAACCTGTGGGCTCAGGCAATCCACTCACCTCAGCTTCCCAAGGCGTGGGATTACAGGCTGAGCCACCAAGCCTGGCTCAGAGGATTTAACAGACAAGGAATAGTTATAAAAGGTATTTATGTGGAACTGGGTGAGATTGCTAATAATTGGAATAATTTTGATCTGTAAAATTGCAGTTTCATATGGATTAGTCTGACATATCCAGTAAACATTTTAGAGAGAATGAGGAAGAGACAATGTGGGAAAAGAAAAATGGCTGAGAACTTTCTATAAATGAGATATATGAAGTCCTTAGATCAAGAAAGTACAAGTAAGCAAGAATTAGTCACACACAGATGCCTGATATTTAAACTATAGAACAGTAAAGGAAAGGAGAAGGTCTTAAAACAACTAGAGAGAAAAGACAGATCACTTATAAATGAATGAGTTCCACAGCAGACTTCTCAAACTGCTGTCAAGAATTAGGGTAGTAGAAAGACATTTTTAACTAAAAACAGAGGGTTGGGTTTTTTTGTTTTTGTTTTGTCAACAATTCTCTAGTAAAGAATTTCTAAAGAATGTAATTCAGAAAAAAAGAAAAATGATTTTGGAAGATAGCTCTGAGATGTAGGAAGGAATAGTGAACAGAGAAAATGGTAAACATAGATAAACATAAACAGTGGCCATATATAACAGGTATCTAATTGTGTGACTAAACACAGCAGAATAATAATACTGGATAACAAAACATGTAAGCTGAAAGGCAGACTATCAGTTCAAGCATTCCAAGTCCTTTGTATTATTTGGGGGGAGTATAGAGATATTAGTTAACCTCACTTTTAAAGTTAAATATGGAGGGCAGAATTCTAGTGTAACCACTAAAGAATAGAATGAATGTGTTTATCTTCTAAACCAATAGGAAGAAAACCAAGAACAATAAGAAAGAATTCATTCAATGCAAAAGATGACTAGAAACCAGGGGGAGAAGGATAACAAGTAGAATAAACAGAATAAGATAGTAAAAATAAATCTGAATATATCAGTAATCGCAGTCTTCATAAATAGACTAATGTAGCCTGTTAAAGGGCATACTATTGAGAGACCAGGATAAATAATCTAGCTTATAAGCTATTTATAAGATACAAACCTATAATATTAGGACACAGAAAGCTTGAATATGCGAGCATACCTCAGAAATATTGCAGGTTTGGTTCAGACCAGTGCAATAAAGTGAGTATTGCAATGAAACAAGTGACACAAATTTTTTGATTTCCTAGCATATAAAAAGTTATGTTTTCACCATACTGTAGTTTAAGTGCATCCAAAAAAGTCTTAACTTAAAAATACCTTATTGCCAAAAAAAATTGCTAGCAATCAGCTGAGCCTTAAGTGAATTGCAATCTTTTTGTTGGTGGAGAATTTTTTCTTGATGTTGATGGCTGCTGACTGATTAGGATGGTGGTTGCTAAGAGTTGGGTTGGTTGTGACAATTTCTTAAAATAAGACAGCAGTGAAATTTGCCACATCAGTGTATTCTTCTTTTCATGAAAGATTTATCTGTAGCATGTGATGCTTCTTGATAGCATTTTACTCATAGTACAACTTTTCAAAATTAGTGTCAATCAACACCTCATCTGTTCAAGTTGAATCATGAGATTGCAACAATTCAGTCACATCTTTCCGTTTGTAATTCTACTTCTCTTGTTACTTCCACCCCATCTGTAGTTACTTCTTACACTGAAGTCTTGAGCCCCTCAAAGTCATCTATGAGGGTTGAAATTACTTTCCTCCAAATTCCTGTTAATGTTGATACTTTGACCTCCTCTCATAGAATCATGAATGTTCTTAATGGCATCGAGAATGGTGAACCCTTTCCAAAAGGTTTCTGTTTATTTTGCCCAGATCTATCAAAGGAATCACGATCTATGGCAGCTATAGTCTTACAAAATGTATTTTTTAAATAATAAGACCTGAAAGGCAAAATGACTCCTTAATCCATGGGCTACAGAATAAATGTTGCGTTAGCCGGCATGAAAACAACATGAATCTTTTTGTATATCTCCATCAGAGCGTTCCAGTGACCAGGTGCATTGTCAATGAGCAATACTACTTTGAAAGAAATCTTTACTTCTGAGCAGTAAGCCTCAATAGTGGGATTAAAATATCCAGTAAACCATGCTGTAAACAGAAGTGGTGTTACCCAGGCTTTATTGTTACATTTATAGAGCACAGGCAGAGTAGATTTTGTGTAATTTTTAAGGGTCCCAGAATTATCAGAATGGTAAGTGAACACTGGCTTCACCTTAAAGTCACCAGCTGCATTAGCCCCTAAAAAGAGTCAGCCTGTCCTTTGAAGCTTTGAAGCCAGGCATTGACTTCTCTCTAGCTATTCAAGTCCTAGATGACATCTTCTACCAATATGAGACTGTTTAGTATACATGAAAATCTGT